AACTATATTTGAAGCCCTACATCTTGAAGACACAGCTCCCTTTTTTTTCTTAATTTTAGGGCATGACTCTCCTTGGATAATACATACATTATATTTTACGTGGCCCTGCTCTTTTTGAAATTCTCCTGTAATTTGGTACACCTGCATGAACACATAAGCTCCCCCATCTTCTGTGCTGTGCTTCCATGTTGTTTTGAGTATGCAAAGCCGTGCTGCGTGCATTTGTATTCAGACCACAGACTTGGCAGAACCAGTACAGCGGTGTATCACAAAACATCTTCTTGTCTTACCATGCACATCATTATTTTCAAATCAATCAATCTGCTGGATTTTTTTCTTCAGATAAATGAGGCTTCAGGTAAATGTGGCATTTTTCATAATAAACCTCTAGAATTTCATCAGTCAAGAGGAATGCTAATACAAACAAATGACACATCTTTAAACTGAAGTTTTCATCTTTGCTCTATTGCATGACAAATCCACTCATCTTAATTTTCCATCAAATGCATTGTGCTCAATGGAAAAGCCAAACTTCATTGGAAATATCTTGAAATTCACTTTCAGAAGCCTTGATCTCACCTAATTCTAATTCCTTATGTCTTTATGACTTGGGAATTCAGTTAAATCCATTTTCTTCAGCCATGTCCACCAGACTTACAAATAATCATTTATAAAATGCTTTCCCTATTCTGGTCATTAATACATAAATGGGAAGATAAGTTTTAGAATTTGTTAATCCAACAGGGGCATGAATTTTATATATTTGATAAAAAAAAACAGAGGGGATAGTTTTTTGTTTTTTTTTAAAGATTTATTTATTTATTTATACAAGCACTGGGTACAGTCAGAAGCGCGGGAGGGTGAGAGAATTCACCAGAGCCAGAGCTGGGAGCAGAGCAGGCAGAAGGCCCGAAGTACACTGCTGAGGGGAGCAGCGGGCGGCAGGAGAGGTCTGCGCGCCATGTGGGACCCTCCTCTGATGGCCGGGGAGCAGCCGGGGATCGAACCGGCGCTGCAGAGGCCGCGGGCAGCTTTGCAACCCAGTGTTCAACCGCTGCGCCACCAGGTAGGCCCAGAGGGGATAGTTTTGAAAGGTCCAGCCATTATCCAAAATGAGGGCTGTGCACATTCTTTAAGGTTTAGCAGAATATAAGAAGTCATTCTCCTTCAACAGCCAAATCCCTAGCCAATAGTTCGCCATTTAATGTGTTAATAACACTGGAGTAACCTCTGTATCAATAAGGGCCTTTGGTCAGAAGGTCACTGAGCTTGCTGAACTCCTTTTATTCTCTGGCAGGTGTTTTCTGAAAGTGAGCTATGTGTGAAAGGGCAGAAGTAATGCACAATTGAATAATTTGGTGGAGGAGATTTCTTGTATTTTTCAACGTGTTTTCACTTCTGCCTTTTAGGTTTCAAGGTTTCAACAGGTGAGATTTCGATTTTCCTGGTTGTGATTTTGAAATTTTTTACGTTAGGGATTTTGATCTCTCAGAATCTCAATGTGCGAGGTTGCACCTTTCAGGATTCCATGGTCACAGCTTCTACTTGGGCAGTAGCAATGGTAGCCTGTCCTCTCAGGTGGTTAGAGGTGATGGATGTAGCACCTGACCACTCATCAGTGAGTCAGTGTTGATTTTGTTATTGCATTTACATTAGCTTCCGTGACTATTGCTGGTGTGTGTTTATGGCTATGGGTCCTTAGGGAAATAAAGATGTGTCTGGAAGTGGAAGCTTGAGTGGAGAAATTTTCTCCAGAGGTGGCACTGATCCCCCAGAGACTCAGATATGGCCTGTGGTGTGGGCCTGAGGCAGAAGGAATGAAGGAAATGTCCCTTTGGGGCTTTTAGTATATGTTTGGGGGGTATAGGAAGCTCCAGCTTCTTTTACATGTAGTCACCCCTTCTAGCCCCCCCATATCCCTCCCAGCTCCTGCACCAGTGTCTGGGTTCTGCTGTAAGAGATGCTGGCCCTGTCCCTGTGGTACTGAGGGACCCTCAGTCAGCCTTGTATTCCCACTCCACTTGCCCAGGGAGCCAGCCAGAGCCCTAATTCTGTTCCAACCTCACCTCTGCTGGCAAGGTCAAAACTCTCTGGAAGGAGAAGAAAAGCAGACCCCTGGGGTGTTCCTTGAGGGCTGGGCCCTGTAGAGTTGGGCCCAGGGTCTGTGTCACTGAAGCTAGTGCAGTCCCTTCACTGCCTGCAGCTGAGCCTTCCTGCCCGGCTGCCCTGACTCCTGCCCTTTGCTCTTCTCCTTATGTGCTCGTCTGTCAGGGCTCCTCCAGGTCATCACAGCTGCTGTCTCCCTCTCCCCTCCTCATGAGTCCTCCAACCACTTTCCACCTGATGATATCAGGCCCCAGCTTCCAGCCCTTCCGTGCTTGTTCCTGGAGGGAAATCCACTCTTTACACCTTGCCTACAAGGCCCTTTTGTAGGATGTCAGTACAGTCATTCCAAGTGGGTTTCTTTTACTACCCCCTGCTCTCCAGCCACCTCTGTTCCCATGCAGATGGCAGTGCTTTCCCACTGCTGTTGTTTTCCAGAGCCCCCACCCCCACCCCCCAATGCCCCTCGCCTTTCTCTGCTCAAATCCTATTCATTCTCAAGCCTGGTTAAGAAGGTGCCTTTGACCCAAAACATTTGCTGAATGGAAGTCAGATCTTATCTTGGTCTTTTAGTGGTCCCCTCATAATGTAGATATTTCGAACATGTCTTATCTGCCCTGTGGGACAGAAAGAGATTGAGGCAGAGACCAAGGCTGATTCATCCAGTCTCCTGGACCAGTCAGTACATACAGCATCAGTTGTCTACACAGGTATCTGCTCACTGCTCTCAGGCACACACACCCATGCTCAGAAGCAGTACAGAGCTGGTTGCTTCTCCAGTGATTCTACGGAACAAGCCTCCCAAACCCCATTGTCTTACAGCACGTACTGCTCATGAGTGTGCAGGTTCGCTGGTTGCCTCTGCCTCAGGCTGCAGGCCCAAGGGTGGACTAGACCCCCATGGGATTGGCTGGGCTGGGCTCCAGGCCATGGGTGAGCTTCAGATCTGTCCCAGGTGCCCACAGTTGGGGACCTAGGCTGAAGGAGAGCAGCTTTCTGGGACAAACTCTTCTCACAGCAAACTAGCAGGAATGTGGGGGGACATGCCAAACAGCAAGGCCATGGAAAGCTATCCCTCATGTCCTGTCCACTAATTCCCACTGGCCAAAGCAGGTCAGTTGGGCAGGGAAGCATACCCCTCCCTCCATTCTAGCAGGAAGGACTACAAGGTCACAGGACAAAGTCCAACTCTGTTAGGGGAGGGAGTGACGATCTCGGGACATTCCAGCCCAAATTCCCATATGCCGGCATCCATTGGTGGTTCTATTCTATTTACAGACATGCGGCCTGGTCTCCTTCCTCTGACGAAACATACGACTAAATGCTGGTGCCTTAACCTCTCTGTGGTCCAGTTTTCTCAGCAGCAAAATGGGAATAATAATACTTTTCCCACAAGGTTGTGAAGGTTAAATAGCATTAATATATGTTAGACATTTGAACACTTCTTGGTAAGAGGATTCAATAAAACTAAGCTGCTACTATCACACTATTCTCCTCAGTAGCCCAGAGCCAGTTATAACTCCTGTCTGCGGCCCCCTCCCATGGAGATGCGAGTGTGTATGTACCCCCAGGCTGGCCTCCCATACCTCAGAGGCTGCAGACTGGTGGCCTGCTGACTGCCTGCTGTGCACGTAGAACTGTGTTATCGGACCTGTGCAATATTTTAAAATGTGAGGCCTTTGACACAAAAAAATCAAATGTTCTTGAGTTATCTTCACAGATGGTAAATATAGTCAGGGAGGAGATACCATCTCCCAGAAAGAATGTGTGGGGTGAAAAGGTAAGAGTTCCCACACAGACGGTTGAAGAATCAGCCTCTAGGGGTGGGCAGAAGAGCAGATGGCTGAGCTAGAACAGCCAGGGAAGGAGGGAGAGGAGGTGCTGGGAGCGGGGCATGGCAGGAGGGACAGCAAGAGGTGATGGTGGCTGGGGCTAGGGTGGGAGAGAAGGTGGGGAGAGGTGTCAGGATTCCTGATGTATTTTGAAGGCAGCGCCAACATAATTGGCTCTGCATGAAAAGAGAAAGAACTAGACAAGCCAAGGATGCCACTACAGGGTTTGACCTGGAGGCCACAGTTGCCTTTTGTCAGAATGGGGAGGTCTGTGGATGCATCAGGGCCGGGGAGAGACGGAGATGAAGCATGAGTTTGATGTATCTAGTGGCCACTGACCAGTGAGATGCCCAGTGAGCCAGGAGCCCTGTAAATCTAGATTCAGGGCAATGCCCAGACTGGAGCAGTAAATGTGGGAGACATTATTTTTGAGGGCCATGGCTTAAAGCCCTGAGCCCTGGGGAGGTCATGCGAGTATGAATGTAGATGAGAGAGAAGAGGTTCAGAGTCTAAGCCCTGGACCTCCCTGTGTCCTGGGGTCAGGACTGGTGTCCTGGGGTCAGAATTGGTGAAGGAAACAAGAGGAGGATCCGCCAGTGAGGAGCAGGGAGCTGGGCTCTGCTGTCCTGAAAGTTGAGAGGGGGCTCTTTCTAGATGGAGGTGATCAGCTGGGTCAAATGCTGCTGGTATGTCAAGTAAGAGGAGAACTGAGTTTCCGCTGGACTTAGCAACATGTTGGACGTTGTGATTTTTGACAAGAGAAGTTCAGAGGCTGACAGGAGACACTCTGAACACGTCATGCCCTGCTTTGGGATTAAATGGGTGATGGGTATGCTCTGCTCTACACACAAGAGGTGTGTTCTCAATGCAGGACATCTGGTGGGATAAGTGGGAATCCAGCTGTAGTGCAGAGCACGAGATGGCCAGTCTTGGCGTGTCTGAGAAGACCCCTGGCCTGCCGCCCTGCCCCTGCCAGCATCCTACCAAAGCCTCTGGAGGGGGAGCAAGTGCCCTGCAGGACCCACTCCTTCCCACCATCTCTTCTAGTCCCTCTTCTCCTCTCAGCAGATCAGCCGACCTCCCCTAAGAAGCCCAAGAGCATCTCTGAGCCAGAGCCTGATGATGTAGATGGTGGAGTCACCTCCCCTCTGCCCTCTGAGTGGACATCAGTGAGGATCGGCCCTGGGGAGGACATGGTCGGGCAGGATGTGCTGGCTGTGTGTGTCCTGGTCACCAGTGACAACAGCAGGTATGTGCAGCTGCAGGATGGGGTTGGGGCATGGGGGCAGCATTCAGGATCTGGTCTTCGTGTACCTGCTTGCACTGCAACTTCTCTCTGCATTCACTTCCTCATTTGTAAAATGGGGACAATCCCAGTGCCCATCACACAGGATCAAAGAATTAACATGTAGAACAATGTCCAGCACAAAATGTCCTCTAAGTATTCAACCTGCTGTCTTCTCAAAGGGTGGAAAGTCGCTGGCCCCACTGTCTTGTTCCCAGAAGGTCATTGTCATGGAAGCTGCTGGAAAGGCTCTCAAGAGGTGTCAGCTGTCATAGTAAGATGAAATATATGACTGTGGGAAAGTTAGGCTAGAGGCAAGGATGTGAAACTGTGAAGTCTGGTGCCCTCAAGGAGTGTTTCTCAGAGTGTCGTCCCCACCACCAGTGTGAGGAGCATGTGGAGCACCCACCAGGAGGGCAGACTCCGTGTCGCCTCCACACACACTGATTTCCTTCAGGTCAATCCACAGCAAGTACCGTGTGCCCATTAGGTAGTCTAAGGACATGGCAGTGACTAACACAGGACAAAGGCCTTGCTTGCACAGGGCTTAAACCTGAGGGGGGGAGTCATGTACTATCGAAACACTAACAAGGATATAAAATAATGATACTTCAAAAAAAGAAAAGAAACAATTTGAGTAGATGGCCCATAAACCAGTAAAGAGCTAACAGGAAGAGAAATAAATAGGGTGCATGACAGAGAGTGACTGGTCAGCTACTGAAGAAAGGGCCCTGCACCTGCTCTCAATTCCCACAGACATGCAGAGCAACAAACCACTGCAAAAGTTAGGGAACAGCCCCCACTTCCACATGGGATCCTGTGCGCCGAGGTATGAGCTGGGCTCAGCAGGGCAGCTCTTCTGGTTCAGGTGACTGTGTGCTCTGTCAGCAGGGGCTGCTTCTAGATCCTGCTAGCTCCCAGCAAGTCATGCCAAGGGTGTTGGGCTGTGGGTTTTCATCCTCCGACAGGCAGCCTGTGCTTATTCCTAGGGGCCTGTGATCCTCAGAGAAAGTGAAATTGTGTGATGTCTTTTGAGGTCTTGGCTGCAAAGGGCTATTCCCTACATATCCAAATAGTCACAGCAAGTCATGAGACCAGCCCAGTGACAGGGAACATAGCCCACCTTCTGTGAGGGCACCACAAAATCCCACTGCAGAGGACTGTGGACCCATAAGACTATTAGGACCATTCTTTGCAAACAGTATACCCCAGCCTCCCTGAGAAGGTGACATTAAGCTGAGAATTGATCGACAAGAAGAGACAGCCATGTGACAACTGGGAAAAGGGAAATCCAGCCCTCTGGGTGCTGGTGAGCTTGATGTCTCAGAGGTAACAGAAGGACAATGTGGCTGGCATTCAATGAGGGAAGAAGATATTGTGCCAGAAAGTAAGGCAGGAGTCAGCTTAGTAAGATGCAGAGAGGAGTTTTCATTTTATTCTAGCCATAACTCAGTGTCATTAGAGAATTTTTAAGCCAGACAGTAATATCCCATTTAGAATGTTCAAAGAGCAGCCTTGGTGTGGATAATGGATGGGACAGGTGGGTGGGAGTGGAGGTGGGGAGCCCAGGGGGAGCCTGTGGCTCAGGTAGGAGATGAGAGGCTTGGATCAGAGCTGTGAGCAGTGGAGATGAATCTGCCAATGGGCTGAAAGTAAGGGAGAGAGAATTCAAGGGCCACTCCCAGATTTTAACTTGAGGGGCTAGAGTCACTTTTAGAGTTGCTTGCAATGAAGAAGACTTCAGGGAAGATACTGGTTTGTAGAGAAAATCAAGAGTTCTTTTTGAATAGTAGTGTGGGGCAAGAATAGAGAAAATAAGGGAGGAAGCCCCAAACAAGAGCCCCAGGGCATTTGAACATTCTGTGGGCTGGCAGAGAAGCAGTTAGCAAGCCCATGGAAGGAGGGAAGCCATGCTCTCCCCTGGGCATAATAGGTGGCCACTCCTGGGATGCCATGGCCAGCCAGTCTTGGGCATTCTCCCGGGCAGAGTCCACTGAAGGGCACAGAGGAATGAGGGGCAGCAACCCAATGGGAAGAAGCATGCTGGGTTTATATAGAGAGCAGCAGGGGGGGAGGTGTGTGTGTGTGTGTGTGTGTGTGTGTGTGTGTGTAAAAACATCACCCCAGACAGGTTTGTGCTTTCCCACCAGGGGTTTGCTCATGTTTCTTCACTGCCTGACACACCTGCTGCCTCTTCCCTGCCCTTGAATTCCTGCTGCCCACTTGAGGCCCAGGTTAAATACTAACCTCTTGCCCTCCTAGGTGCTCTTTCCTATTCCCCATGCATTCCCAGGGAGGAAGGCTATACTGAGAAGCTTTAGGATCAGAACCTGAGTGAGGAGCCATTTTACTCCTGAGCACCTGAGTCAAGCTCAGAAATGGGTGAAGGTGTACAGTCCAGCCTTCCCAGGCTACGCCAGCATGCATCCTCTGGGCCTCTTCTTCCTGTTCTGCTCCGTCTCTCCCTGAGCCCATTTGTGAGGGTTTCCATAAGTACCACAGACTATCCTCTTGTTTCACTATCCATCTTCAACAGCAGGATTTATTTTCTCACAGTTCTGGATGCAGAGTCCCAGATCAAGGTCTCAGCAGGGCTGATTCCTTCTGAGGACCAGGAGGGAAGGATCTGCCCAAGGTCCCTCTTTTCAGCTTGCAGGCAGCCATCTTCATGTCCATGTGATCCTCTTCTGTGTCTGTGTCCAGATATTTTATTCTTGTAAGGGCCCCAGTCTGAATGGATTAGAAGCTACCTTAATAGCCTCATTGTAACTCAGTTGCCTTTTCAAAGACTCTATCTCTAAATGCAGTCAGATTCTGAGATACTAAGGTTGTGAATTGATATGAATTTGAGGGAGCACAGTAACAGTATAGCTCATAACAAATCACTAAATCACTCCCCTTGCCCAGGGTCCCATGGTCTGCTGGAGGCAGCCATGGACAGGATGCAGTTTGGGAAAGGATTGCAGGGCCCCTCACTCACCCACTCTCTCCTTCCTCCTTCCAGCTCTGACACAGAGTCCATCTGTGGTGACAGTGAGGACTCCAGTGCAGAGCCCTGTGAGGAGAGACCCCGGCAGCTGGAGCCCTCGCCCCTACCACTGGAGCCCTCACCCCAACCGAGGCTGTTCTCCCGGCACAGCTCCCTGAGGGAGGCCCCCACCAGGACAGACTCTCCATCGTGCCCAGAGGAGTCCAAAGCGGTCCATGGTGAGCAGAGAGCCTGCCTGGGCAGGAGCCTGGTTTGCTTGATCCTGGGACATGGGGATGGAGCAGAGACCCCCAAGGCCAGTTTTCCGTACTGGAGGATCAGGTGACAGTATGTCTAGCCTCAGGCCCAGAGGTGGTGGGGCTGGGACTTTTAGGGACAGGGGCACAAGAAAGGATGAGGGGGCTGAATCCAGGCCATCTTCTCTATAAGAAGCTTTGTAATCTCAAGTGAGAAGGTGGCAGAGAGGCCTGGCCGGCTGTTGTGTCACAGGGAGGCAGAGATAACAGCATGCATCACCATCTTCCTCCGGTCAGGTCAGTCTCTTCCTGCTCCTTTGTCTCTCCTTCTGGCCCCTCTGGCATCCATCGCCCGCAGGGGAGGGAGGTGGTTCAGCTGCTGTTGTATCACATGCCCTGTTGGCAACACAGGCTTGGTGCTTGGTGGGGGATGGGGAGAGGGCCAAGGGGCAGCCCTGAGCCATTCCCCATGCTTGGGCTCATGAGGGGCACTAAAACTTTTACTTACACAATAATAAATGCACTGGGAACCTATAATTGCTGCAGCATTTCCCATATAATGCCCTGTGAGTAGTAGCAAGCTGAGCAAACAGACGGAGTGTTCTCCTCAGGTCTTTCCTCACAGGTAAGCAGTGTAGCAAGGAGCTGTAAGCCTCCCCACCAGAGGAGTTGTCTGCAACTCAGCTTGTTTTTAATAAACATGGCCTGAGTTGAGTATTTTGATTTAGTCAACAGCAACTGTGACTTCTGGGTGGGAAGAAACAGGCTCACAGAAACAGCTGCCATGGGATCCAGCAATCTCAGCAGCCCTGTGAGAGCCCGGGCACAGCTTGTCCTGCACCACCCTCTGGTGGTCCAGAGCAGAATTTCCACCTGTGAACATTTCACAGGAAGACCAGGGCTGGAGCCAGAATGCTGGACTCTTGACTTAGCCAACCATGTAAGCCTTTTTTTTTAAAAAGGGCATGTTGTTATCACAACACTTTTGTTAAGTATCAATCGTGGTGCCAGCATAAAAGTTTGATAAATGCAGTAGTCTGTAGAGTTCTGTGCTGGGCCACCTGGGCCTAGCCTGCCTTTGTCTGGTCTTTGCTTAGCCTAAGTATGCCCAGCCATCTCCCAAGCTCCAGCTCCCGCTTCCTCTTTACAGATACTAATCTTGCCTACCTCTCATATTTTTCCTCCATTTCTCCTCTCTCCTCAATTTCCAGGGGGATTTTAGGCAACTTATAAGAGAGACATAATACAGAATTGTATGTCTAGATGCATGAAAAACAAAGCCTCAAGATGGAGGCTAACAAAACCCGGTTCAGGAGATGTGGCCACCATGAGGCAAACCATAGTCCTAAACAGTTACTCTAGTTGACCATGAGCTTAATTGTGGATTTTCTAGCACCCGAAGTGGACAGGGAATCATAATTATTGTTGTCACTGTTCATGAGGAAAATATGGTGGTTCCTTATGCTTTACTGTATGGAAAATATGCTTTACTGTCACATAGGGGGTATTTTGAGTAGTATTAGATCTCGTCTTGAACAACAGTTCCATAGAAAATGCAGCTGTGATTTTCTTGAGGCAGGTTCATGCAGCATTCTGGCTGGCAGGTGAGGGCATAGCAGGGGTCAGTGCCAGCGGTCTCCAGCAGAGTTGGGGCAGGGACAAGAGAATGGGCTGTGTGACCAAAGCATTTGTTCATGACCATTTAGCTAAGTTCTAGAATTAAATATAGCATAGACAGAGGCGTGGATAGACTGCCTGACTTCTCAGCCATTACCTGTCTATTTCATCTTCATCTGTCATGGTTTTGGTGAAGGCCAGGCACACCCCATTGTGAGGTTAAGATCTCTGGTACAGTCAAAGTGCTGAGATTGGTGCTTCCGGTTATGGTGAGCTCATCACTTTACCGGATAAGGTCAAGTTGACGTCACATACATAGGATAGAGTTTTGTTAATCACAGTTCTCACCTGGATAAATGGCTCAGAGCTGAGCAGAGGGAATGTTGGACAACATCGGGGCATTTTCTAAAGGACCCCTGGTTGGTGCCTGCATGGTCACAGAGCACTATTCACTATCACTAAAAGGGGAAAATCACCCAAACTTCCATCAGCAGGTAACTGGCAGGTAGATAACAGGTTGTGGTATATACGTACTATGGAATATTATTCATCCTTTAAAAGGAAGGAAATTCTGGAAGCTGCCAGTACCGCCAGACCTCCCGCGCCACTCAGCCCTGGTGAACCCCACCTTGTTTTTTGATATTGCTGTTCAACAACCAACACTCGGATCGCATCTCTCTGGAGCTCTTTGCAGACAAAGTTTGAAAGACAGAAGAAACCTTTCATACTCTGAGAACTGGGGAGGAAGGATATGGCCACAGAGTTGCCTGCTTTCACAAAATTATTCCAGGATTTATGTGCCAGGTTGGTGTCCTCACACGCCATAATGGTGCTGGCAGCCAGTCTGTCTCTGGGAGAAAGATAATGATAAGAACTTCCCCCTGAAGCATGCAGGAGCTGCATCTTGTCCATGGCGAATGATGGACCCAACACAATTGCTTCCATTTTATCATCTGCACTGGCAAGACTGAGTGGTTGGATGCACGCATGTGGTCTTCGGCAAGGTGAAGGAGGGCATGACTACTGTAGAAGCCACGGAGCTCTTTGGGTCCAAAAATGGTAAAACCAGCAAGAAGATCAGATCACCATTGCTGACTGTGGGCAAATCTCATAAATTTGACTTGTGTTTCATCTTAACCACCAGAACATTCCTTCCGTAGCTCAGGAGAGCACCCCTGTATTCCCATCTGCTCGAAATATCCTATAATCTCTGTGCTCTCCCGTCTTCGGGCTCTATATTTTCCTTATCCCCTTCCAAGTCTAGCTGGATTGCAGAGTTAAGTTGGTGATTATGAAATAAACAATAATTATGTGTCCTTAAAATAAAAGGAAGGAAATTTTGTTACATGCTAGAACATGGATATCCTTAAAGTCATTGTGTGAAACGAAATAAGTCAGACACAAAAAGACAAATAAATGAGTTTTCTAGAGTGGCCATACTCACAAAGGCAGAAAGCAGAGTAGTGGCTCCAGGCGCTGCACAGGGGAGTAGGAGGACATGTTGGACGGACGGGTGCAGAGGGATGAGGAGGAAGGCCCAGAGGTGAGTGGTGGTGAGGATTGAACAATACCACGAATGCACGTAATGCCCTTGAACTCTACACCTTTAAAATGGTCAAAATGGGCATGTTTATGTTGCATTCATTTTACTACAATTTGCAAAAAGTTCTGGAACTCCATAAGTTCATCAAGGAACACATCACCTCCACAAAGTTCTCTGACATAGAGCATGCCCAAAGGGTGGTGTGAGAGAGAACGTAAGCCCTAGGCTGTCGGGACCTCAGAAGATTCTTCCCCGAAACACCAAGTCCACTCATTATTAGGCTTCTTGCTTGAAACATAGGTCCCCACCTTCAGGAACTCAGATCTGGTGGGTCTAGGGCAGAGCCAGGTGTCTGCGTTGTGTGTCAGTGTCCAGGGGCTTCCACATAGGAGGGTGCGTCATCCACAGTGGGGATCATGGAAGAGCAGCTGCTGAGGGCTTGCAGGGTGCAATGGTTATAAAACACACACCTGAGCAACTGAGTGATTCAATCGGGGGCACTGAATTCTTGGACATAAACCAATCAGAGCAGGGGGGCCAATCTGTCCCCAGATTATTCTGGTTTAGAAAAATTGGTCTTTATCCCATTTGTTTCTGGCAATAATTTGATAGTAAGATGACCCAGTGGCCTATGGAGGACAATGATAGTTTGTAACAATAAATGGTATCATGAGCACCACAGGGCACAAGACTTAGCCCTGACCCGTCTCCAGTGGGTCAGGCCCTAAGATCTCCAAAAGTGTTTCCTTAAAGTAAAAGGAAAGAAACAAATGGAAATAAAATATGAGCTAAGAGAAAGCAAGCAGTCCCGCTTTGCACTGTGCGAAATTCCTGGCTCAAATCATCATTCCCCACCCTACTGATCGTGTTGTGCTAAAGATTTGTGCAGGTGCATCCTATAAGCACAGCAATGGACAATCTCTTCGGTGTTTTAGCCATTTCTAGTAAGATCCATTCCAGAAAAAAGCTGAGTAGAAGCAATTAGACCTGTAAGCACTCCTCTGTGGTTCTGGAAAAATGTCTCTGTTAGGTGATAAGATTAACTTTGGTCAGCAGTTGTAGCTGTACTTGAAGCCTGCCTGTACCTTGTAGCCTGCCGCGGGGAGGTGGGACACTGTGTCCTGCACCTGTCCACACAGGAGCCCTGAAGCCCATGGAATTGATAGTGGGAGCAGGCTGGCAGGACTGGGAACCCACAAGAGGAATGCATCTCCAAATGGAGAAGGAAGGGAGGGAGCCGGGGATCTTGTCTGAGGAAAGGCAGCCTCCAGGTAGTAGGGACACCCACTCCAGGGCCTGGTGGGCCGCAGCTGATGCCCAGCCCGCAAGACTCTTGCAGGGAGTGGAATCCAGTACTTCTTCACAGAGAGAGGGAAGGCTGGGCTGGCTGACTGCATTCAACCATTCCTACCCCCTCCTCCCACACCCAACTCATCCCTGTGGGCTTTCTCTCCCCACCACCCCCCCAGGCCTCCTTGTCCCACCGATGTGAAAATTCACCCCATTCTCTCAGCTGTGACAGAAGCATCGGGCCCCTCAGCTTGGGCTGAATCTGAGACCCCTGCATGGGGGCAGGGCACATGTGCGTCCTGCTGTCTACTCTCATGCCCTACAAGGCAATGATTGCTGTTTTCTTGTGCATACACTGTTCATTTTGCTCAGCTACTTCTCAAGGCCCAGCTAGATAGAGGGTCTCCCCTATGGGTGTGCTGCATCCTGGAAATGTGTTCGTTGGAGCCAGGTCAAGAGGTGGGGTCATGGCGATGGGCTGTCCAGAGATTCAGTTAAAACTGGTTCCGAAAGGGCTTTAAGGGCTTGGTGGAGAAGCGGGTGACAGGGTCAAGCTTTTTGCAGCTTCCGCATTCCAGAGCAGCCCTAGTTTTATCTGTTACGTGGGATACTGACGTGTGACCAGCTTGGAAGAACTGCTGTGGTGGAAAGGAGCACACGTGTGCATTTACAAGCATGTGCGAACAGGGCGTGTGTGTTCTGTACACATGCAGCGGGTCCTCAAGTAATGTCACTTTCTTCAGCATCGTTTCATTATAACATTGACAAGGAAACAATCCCAGCCAGCCCTGAATGATATAACGAACGTTATTCAAGGACGCGTTTCACTGAACGCTGCAGTTTCCAAAAAACTACAGATGAGGAGAAGTGAGGATTTAATATGTAAACATGTGTGCCAATGACAGAGGAGTTAGAATGAAGGGCTTCATTCGAGGCATTCTCTGAAAGAGGCAGTGCCTGTCCCAAAGAAGGTTGTCAATTCGTGTTCGATAGATGAATGGATCAGAAGTTGGAGGTGAGTGTTGTGGGAATAGAAAGTTGCAGTCTGAGGGAGGGAAGGGGCTCAGTGACTTATGATCATTAAGTGATTGGCTTTTGGTAAATGGGCCATGGGAGAAAGCTCCCTATTTCTTCTACATGTTTAACAGACTCTTCCTCCCTCCGCATCTTCCCTTCCTTTTTGTGTTCTCCACCACAGCTCTGCAACGGGCCAATAGCATTCAGTCGCCAACTTCTAGCATATACCAGAGCTGGAGAAGAAAATTCCAGTCCAGTGAGTCACAAGCTCTCTGGGGTGGGGTTGGGATGGGTAGGAGTTTGCTGGTTCATTCTCAGGGGCAGCTGTTCTCATTCCTTACATGTCCCCTCTGACCTGGCCTCTTGCATATGAGGGGCAAGGAAAGAAATACAAAGTTGACTCTGTTTCTGCTGCTGACCAGAGGAAGCATTTTACAAGGGATTTGGGACCCTCCCTTCCCCCTCAGCTCCCCACTCCCAAATCTTGGAGTCTTAGAACTCTATAATTGTACCTGGAAGGGATTTTAGCAATCATTGGTTCCAAGCTTTTTTAGACACAGATGAGGAAACTATGACCCAGGGACTCTGTTTGTTTTGACTCAGTACACTGGGGGTTGGAAGGTAGAGAAGGCAGGGGTATCAGCTCAATGACCTCAGCAATCAGGAGCAAAGCAATGAAGGAAAACACACACACACACACACACACACACACACACACACACCCCACCCCCACCCCCGCTGGTGGTAAGTGCCAAAGCAGAAGACTCCCACTAGGGGGTGCTGTGACCACTCACTCATTTGATCAGCATCCCAGGTCTGGCCATTTTAGGCCAAGTTGCTGGTGCCACGTGGGTTGCAGACAAGGGATTCCCTCCCCAGTCCTGAGATGCTTAGAGGAGGGCAGGGACGCTTCACCTGATTCCAAGTTCATTGCTGTCTTCAACCTCCTCCCATCCCTTCCCTCCTTCATTGCTTTGCTCATGATTGCGGAGGTCATTAAGCTGTAGGAAAGGCGGGCCAGGAAAGCTTTGGGTTAGACGAGTTAACCCAAAGTGTGTGTGTGTGTGTGTGTGTGCATTTTTCACAAAGTGTTGCTGCATTTGGAATGGACTAGCCTAGTTGACTTCTAACTTCTGAGTCAACACTAATCCTAGACAGTGAGTCATTCTCCCAGCAACCCCAGACTCTTGGCCCCTCTCTCTGGTCAGGCTGGGACAATGGGCACCTCTGGAGCTAGACCAGGCCTGCACATCTGGAGACAACCTTAAATGACTCTTGAATCATCTTGTAGCCTCAGGCAGTGAGTGTAAGAAGGGAATGACTATTTCCTGAAGGTCTGGGTCTGGCCTATTCCACTGCTCACCTCACTCTCCACAACTCCTCTCCAAGTCACCAGAGTTCTGATTCTATGGGTACGTCCCTTGGGGGTACAGATTCCATCCAGTGCTTCCAGCAAACTCTACTGAATGCCACCTGTGCAAAGGTTTACCTTATCCTCAGCAGGCTCCCAGCCTGGGGTGAGACAGCAGGGTCAGGGATGCTGGAAAAGCCGCAGGAGAAGAGTCTGCTAACCAGACACTAGCAGGGATGCACCTGGGGACCCCAGCAGCATCTTTAGCTGTCCCAGAAATATCGGGAATGTTTCTAATCCAGAAGGTCCTTTGGTATAGGTAGAAGCTGGCTTGAGGCAGGCCTTGAGTTTGAATCATTTCTGTAGTCCTAATGCCTAGCCAGGTGTGTGCTGGCTCAGAGGAGGCCTGAGCCCTTGCTCACCAAGTGAATGAATGAATGAATGAACAAATAATAACCGAAACACCCAGGAACAAGGGGCTGGACTGAGTGCAGGAATAAACGGAGACAGAGTGGAGGCCCATAGGCCACTGCCTCTAGAGGGCGATCTAAGACTTTAGAAGGATTTGAATGTTACCTAAATGCCGAATTCTGGGAAGCTGCATCCTGGAATCACAGTTTTTGTGAAAATCCCCAGAGCTGAAAGTCACCATCTTTTTGCCCATCTTTATTTTCTCCAAGGGAAAATCCCACTGGGCAAGGATGGTGCAGCATAGGACATAGTATACAGGGCACTATCTCCTGTCCAGTCATTTCTCATCAAGGCTGGTTCTGGCCCCAACCCCCAGGTGGGGTCCTGTGACTACCCTAGGGTGCCTCGCATAGCTGGGATCAAGGATAAAGGCTATCATTGCCAGAGGGCCCAGAATAAAAGGCAGCTGACGCAGGGGGAACGGGGCTGTCAGCCAGGCCCCAGTCTGCTCAGCAACCCCATTTGCACAGAGGGACTCGAAGCACCAATGATGCCTATGACTGAGGCTCCTGCAGAGGGCAGGGCAGCTCTGGCTGGGCCATACCAAGATTTTAAGGAAAACAAGAAGGGGCTGGAACTGAAGGGTGTGAGCTGATGAGCAAGGAGTCCCTGGGCCCACAAGGTAGAGACATCCTGGTGGTGTGGGGGTGGGGTGGGGGGGTGCATGTGCACCAGCTCCAGAACAGGATGGGGGTCCAGTAGTGTCTTTATTGGACACCACTTGTATGCATAGGAGGAGGGGATTAGGATGGCGTTAATATTTAGGTAGCAGTTAACATTTATTTTATATCCTGCACCAAGCACCTCTTTTTATTCCTCCTCTCTCCCTTAAAACAGCACTAGACTTCCCATTTTTCAGATGAGGAACTGAGGAGTTAAGAAACTTGCTCACTGTCAGGCAGCTGGCGTGGGTATAAAAGAGGGGCGGTTCCAGGCATCCCTTTACCATCCTCTGAGGGAAGGCAAGCAGCAGCCTCAGGCGGGGGGCATTTCCCTTCTCCCCTCTGCTGGTTCTGGCCTCACCTTCCCCTTCCAGGTAGTGCCCCTCAGCCCCCCACTTCTCCCCAGTTCAATCAGAAGACCATGCAAGTGGAGAGAGCCCTCGCCAGCAGGGGAGGGGGTGAGCATCAGAGAACAGAGGAGAGAGGGGCATTCCAGGCTTCGATCACAGGCCCAAGGCTTCCCTGTCAGGCTGGGTTCCCAGGTGCCCCCCACCCTGTGTCACAAGGTTCCCCAGAGCTACTTGGGGAACAAAAAGGTAGTCTGTTGAGCTGAGGGGACTTTGAGACAAGTTCAGAGTTTGATTCAGGAGGTGGCAGAAAGAGGAGAGAGGGAATGAGGGGGCGAGGAAGAGGAGGAGAGGAATTTGGCAGGAATTTGGCAAGCTGAGGGCAGGAAGCAAGGCAACGGACTCACAAGTTTTGCCTTTTTAGGCTCGAGCCATCTCATTGTGGGCTGAGATGGGGCTCGGATAACAGACAGGCTGGCCAGCGGCCGCCTCTGTGTCAGCTCCTGGCAGCCAGCGGCCTTTCACCCCCCAGCTCCTTCCTGCCCACCCCCGCATCTGTTCCCTGCGTTACCTTTTCCCTCTGAAGCTCTCTGGAGGGCTTCCCATCAGGAGCTTGCAGGCTGGCTGTGGGTGGTGGCCGTCCTGTCAGCGCCCGGGCCCGGATGCAGGCTCTGACTAGCCTGTGTGTGCCGGAGCACGCGGGACCACGTCCTTGCTGACACCCCCCAGCTGTGGCCCCTGTGCAAGTGGGGCTGAAGGAGCTCTTCTTGGGGTGGGGCTTGGGACTAGACTGGTCAGGGTGGGTCCCAGAGGAGAAATGTGCTGCAGAAAGCTTTGGGGAAAGTAAAAGCTCATGCTGAGTTAGGAAGTGCTCCAAAATCTGAAGGCTGGACCCCGAGAATGGGTCAGCTGAGCGGCCAGAAGTGGGAAGCTGGACAGTCAGACAGGAGCTCCTGGTTGGAGACAAGAAAGGGCTCTGCTTGGTGTCCAGGAAACGGCTGCTGCATGCAGTGTGGGTTCATGGAGCACTGGCTGGGCTGAAGGGTTGGACACTGAAAGGGTCAATTTGAAAGGGAGCATGGCATTTTCCTGATGCCTTCTGAGGACAGAGCATCTGATACGGTCCAATATGAAGACAGAATACTTGAGATTTTAGATTTGAGGTCATTTCTTTAATTTTTTTTTTTGGAAAAAATTTGAAAGGGAGCATGGCATTTTTCTTATGTCCTCTGAGGGCAGAGCATCTGACACGGTCCAATATGAAGACAGAATGCTTGAGATTGTAGATTTGGGGTCACAAGGTGGGGGTGTATCATGCACACACATGTGCACTCAGGAGAGCGGTAGAGGCACAGAGAATGAGGTTGGCCTCACAGGCGACAGCATTCAGAATTCTGCTGCACTTGCACCGATTGCTTTCAGGCCCCATGGTTCAGCCTCAGGCGTGTGCTCAGAGCCCCAGCCACACTCCTTTCTCCTGTAACTCTGAGCACGCACCCTGCATCCCATTTGATCCTTGACCAAGAGAGCTTGGCAAGTGTCCGTCTCCATATGCTTCAAATGATTCGATGTTCACTGTAACCTCCCTCCCTTGTGTTCTCTTCAAAATCTCAAATTAACCACCTTGTCTGAGAGCCCCTTGGCACACACAAGAAGGAAGAGCCATTTCATTAGCAGTGATTCCTGTCTGTCCGTGCCCACAGCTAATGGTCCGGCATCTCGTGGGAAGACACCAGACAGTTTATTGACTAAGTGATTTAAGGCAGCCCCAGCCCCCAGCCACAATAGCTTCAGGGGAAGCTTGAGGGGGAGAGTCCACTCCCAGGAAGCACCCTGGCGACTCCCTGTTGCCGCTCTTGAGTCTGTTCTCACGTGAGCATGTGACATGATGGTTCTTAGACTTTCCACACCGGGACCTTCTTAACCTCACAGAGGAGCCTGCCCCTCCCATGCGCTGTCCATTAAGTCCTGAGTTGTGGGCGCTGGGGCCTGTGACTCAGTCCCCAGCCCCTCAGGTTGTATTTACAGAGTTGGAGCTTCATTAAAACCGCCTCTATTCATGATTGAGTAAGACAATAACAGCTCTGTCATCAAGAATGTGTTCTTTCCTTGGTAGATTTGACAACAAATCTAGAACCAGAGTACAACAAAAGAGCCACGTCCTCTCCAAAGGAAACTTCTTCTCTTTCTTCACACTCACAGTCTTTGCCTTCGTCCTCGCCACCATCATCTTCAGCCAGCGTCTCAGCGAGTCCTCGGGCTGGCTCCTCCATGCCTCCAGTAAGTGGCTCTAGGGGCCCTGCACAGGAATTGGGGCGGGGGGAGTGGATTTCTAGATCATCCCAAGTACAAAGTCAGGGTCAGAGGGGTACTCTGTCAAGAGCCCACCCCAGGTCTGCCGTCATGTATCCCTCTTGTGAAAGCTCCTCCTATTCCTTCTCAGCCCTCCCCCTCGCCAAGGACACAACTACTCACTCACTGAGCACACTTTAGGGGGCATGGACTGTGGGCTGCAGAGATGCTGGGACATAGGCCCTGCTCTTGGGAACTTCACAGGGGATATTGCAAATGGCAGGTGCAGAATGGCGGGTTCTGTGCCTTTGGTAACAGAACAAAGACAATATATCTTGGAACAACATGCCCCTTGAATAGAAAATGGTGTCACTGAGATATGTGCCGCTGGACTCTTCCCTTTGATAGAATTTATTGAGTCTCCATTACCTGCGAGCCCCTGTTCAGGGCTCTGGGAAGTAGGGCATACATGCCAGGAAAAGTACAAGTTTCTGGGCCTCCCTGGTGGCACAAGGAGTTAAGCACCACACGATGAAGCAATCCACAGCCTCTGCAGCACGAGTTCGATCCCCAGCTGGGGAGAAACCCACATGGCGTGGCAGACCTCTCCTGCCTCACCCGCTGCTCCCCTCAGCACTGTATTTCAGTCAGTCTGCCTGTTTCTGTTCTCCACTCTGCCTCTGGTGGATATTCTCACCCCCTGCATCTCTGGCTTGTACCTTGGCTCTTATATGCATAAATAAATAAATCTTTAAAAAAAAAGTACAAGTTTCTGAGAGCTCCCATCCCGGAACCTGCCCCTCAGACATCAGAGCTCTTAACGTGGCATGGCCACTCTTTCCAGAGCCCACCTATGTTCTTCTGTTACCAACTGCCAAGTTCCTGCAGTCTGGAAATAGCTACTCTCTCAAGGATGTAAGGCAGGGAAGATCCTTAAGGCCATATTTCTGCCACAACCCAGCACCCACTCAGGGCAACTCTCTCTCCTTACCTTAACAGCCTTCAAGGGAGAAGATTCCGTCTCTTGGTTGTTGGGGCACTTACCACATATGGGTAGAATGTGCTCATTAGTAGGGACCATGGTTGAACCCTGCATGACTGGCTACCCCCCATGAGGGCCAGGCCATGCCTGTCCTCGCTCACCCACAAGCTTGTCAATGTCTGTCCCTTCCTTTCTGGCTTCCTACACACCTAACCAGGACCCAAAAAAGCCTTTGATCAGTGTTGAGATGGGGGCTCCGGATGAATCCTGGCAGGTCCCTAGGCAGCCACTGGGGATCTTTGAAATCATTCTAGGCAGAATTCTTTTTGACTTTGGGTATCTAAGATCTCGAGAGGAAGGGGATGGATGAACTGAGCAGTGCCTTTCCCATATAAATAAATAGAAATGTAAATAAATGCTGGAAATTTCTAATATCTGTCCTTGGTTGCCTTTCCCCATCCAGGCAACAGCTTACAGCTCACCCTCACCAGTCTCAAGAGAACATTTCAGCCTTTCTACTCCAACCTTCTTGAGGCAAACCAGACCCCAAGGAGCATCTGAGGAAATTCCCCTGTATATGCCTCATGGTCAAGTGTTGGAGCAAGCAGAATCCCACCTGCTTAAGCCTAGGGGAGACAACCTTGAAAGTTCTACTCCACCCAACCCTGCAAAGATGGCTTCTGATGGGTATCAGGAAGAAGAGATGCTTCTTGGGGACACCAGAACCATCCAGAATGCCCCACACCCCATTAGGAAGGACAGGTGTTTACCAGACCAAGAGCTGTCTTCCAGGCATGGGGAGAGCCTGGACTCAGGAGGCTTGAGTGCCAGACCCAGGAGGGGAGCCACGCATGGGCCAGAACCAGGAGAGAGGCAGAAGTCGAGCTTAAAGAAGTTAGTCCTCACTCCCGAGCAGAAGACTAATTTGCTGGATTGGAATGACTCAATCCCTGAGAGCTTGCACTTGGAAGCTGGCGCACAATTTTCTCAGAAAGTTGCTCAGAATGGTACAGGAGGCTGGGTGCTGAAACCAGTCAGCCCCTTACAGCTCCCCGCAGCAGTGAGAGAGCCCTTGCCAGCCCAGGGAGAAGCCCCTGGGAAGACAGGGGCCCCGGCTGAGCAGGCTCCATGGGAGCAAACTGTGACGCCACCCAAATCCCCCTTGCGGGTCATAGCAGATGTCTTAAGGAGGACTCTGCTCAACTCTGAAGGCGGGAGGAAGGCCTCCGCCACGCCAAAATCAAAGACTTTGCCCACCAGCCAGTCACACGCTTGCACTCGCTCACTCAGCGTTCGGAACCCCAGTTCCAGTAAAGACTGGAACCGACAGTTCCCAGGAAGAGACGCAGTGAGCAGGGCCTCAGCCTTCTTCTCCTGGGGCACCCGGACTGCCAGGGCTGACCAACCTTTAGAGCCCAGCCCTCCCGACCTTGCCCTCTGCACCCAGAGCTTACCCAACCAGGCATCCAAGACGTCTGCTTTCATCTCTCCATCCTGCAGCAGGATCGAAGATGTCCCCTCTCTCATGGAGAAAGTGAGTTTGCAAGAGATCTATCCAGATGCCTCCAGGGTTCCAAAGAGAACTAGCTCGCTCGCATCGTCCCTTAGACTCGAGGAAAAATCTTATGAGAGTTTCTTCCAAGAATCCAGGCACAAAAAGGGCCTCTGTAGCAGCTCCCAGGGCAACATGCTGCCCTTGGACAACATGCAACCCCCAGAGAAGCAGGGGCAGCGCCTTGGCACCCACCTGGAGCGGAGGGACCATCCCTCTCCAGAGGGAGATGCAGGTAAGTGGCTCCTTCCTAACAAAAGCCTACAGTTCATGCTGGGCAATTAGTGATCCTCAGATTAGCACATGGGTCTCTTTCCCTTGGCTTTGCTTCTGAAATTAAATGCCGCTGAAAACAGGAAAACATCCATTTGAAATTTTTGAAAAAATTGAATTTCAAATTATGTTCTAGAAAGTTTTGGATAAGATAAATCAGCCATAATCATAATTCCACCATTTTCCTATTCACGGTCCATATATGAATTTTTTTTTTATAAAGATAATGAATTTTTTTTTTAAGATTTATTTATTTATTTATTTATTTATACAAGCACTGGGTGCAGTCAGAAGCGCAGGAGGGTGAAGGAATTCACCAGAGCCCAAGCGGGGAGCAGAGCAGGCAGAAGGACCGAAGTACACTGCTGAGGGGAGCAGCGGGTGGCAGGAGAGGTCTGCTCACCATGCGGGACCCTCCTCCGGTGCCCGGGGAGCAGCCGGGGATCGAACCGGCACTGCAGAGGCTGCGGGCAGCTTCACAACCCAGCGCTCAACCGCTGCGCCACCGGGGAGGCCCCATATATGAATTTAAGTTGTACATAAAATTGTATGTAGTCTCCCCCCTTGTCTGCAGGTGCTACATTCCCAGCCGCCTCCCCCTCCCCATGGATTCCTGAAACTACAAATCCACAGACCCTGTAAATATCATATATGTTCCTAGACATACATACACCCATGATAAAGTTTAATTTATAAATTAGGCACAATAAGAGATTAATAACAACAAGCAATAATAAAATAGAACAACCATTATAACATACTGTGATAAAAGTTATGTGACTATGGTCTCTTTCAAAAAAAATCTCATTGTGCATAATAATTTCGGCAAGTGAAACCGCAGATAAGGGGATGCTACTGTCTCTTTTAAAAACAACACATCACAGACATACCAATTCACAAGGCCTACATGCAGGTGATTTAATGGCTGTTGAAATTTTATCTAGTGGATATGTTACTACTATTTAGTGAATTTTTCTCATTGTTTAACTTAGATGTCTGTATAAATTCTATATGTGAATATATTTCTATTTTCTATACAGTACTGAATGGCCATTTTATGCATAGAACTTTTTCTTTCAATTAGTTTTTCAGGATAGGCTCCAAGAAATGGGATTCTGGAGGAAAGATGTGAATATTTTTAAGATTTTTCACTTACACTGACAAAATGCTTTGTAAAAGGGAGCAAGCAGCATATGTGAAGGATTTGTAGGCTCCAACCGCATGTTACAAATTTCAGTTACAATAAGGGAAAGGTTCCAGTTTCCATTCCTCCACAAACACACCAGATACCTTTTCTAGCACATTTGACATGATATTTTTGAGGTCAAAAAATGGTGCCTCTTTAAACTCTTTTTAAAGATTTATTTATTTATGCATACAAGAACTGGGGTATAGGCCAGAGGTGTGGGGGCAGTGAGAGGATTCGCCAGAGACAGAATAGAAAACAGCATGGGCAGATACACTGCTGAGGGGAGTAGCAGACGAGTCAGGAGAGGTCTGCTGCACCATGTGGGTATCTCCCTGGCTGGCCAGGGATGGAACTCATGCTGCAGAGGCTGCGGACAGCTTCACAGTGCTGTGTTTAACCTCTTGTGCCACCAGGGAGGCCCTGTCCTTTTTTTTTTTTTTTAGCACTAACTTAAAGATAATTGGGTACCAATGGAAACTTTTTTTTCCTATATTTAAATCTGATTATAATTTTAATTATAAAATAGTATAGTCAAGAATCAGATTAACCCAAGAAAGTGAAAATATGTAGAAAATAAATAATAACATGTGTGCTCTCACCTGCTCTCCTCCTGGCCAGAATTTTGGCATACATCTTTAGAGACAGTTTAGTGAGACATTCACATGGGTTCTTTTATTACTGTCAATACTTGTTTGATTGCTTTAAACAATGTGACTCTACTGTCCCTATTGTTGGGCCACTTTGTTTTTCTTTATTTTTTTCAGCCTTTATTTTGGAACTTCGCAAGTAAAAAATTATTTTTCTTCTTTGCTGCCTTCATCAAAGAGCTATATAGATTAACAAAGAGTTTATTTTCAGTCAAGTTGGGGATAAGCAGAACAGGCTGGAGCAGAACTATCATATCACAACATAAACTTTAACATGTTGTTTAATTTCTGATGGGTGATACATTCATGGTGCTCAACAGAAGTGGATAAAAAAGGCCCACAATAGATAGTCCTCTTCCCTTCCCTATCCCATAGCTATCAGGTCTATTCCCCAGCACAGATCCCATGATCAGTTTTTTTTTTTTAAATAATTTTTTAAATTTATATCTCATATCATTGTGTATTCCCCATAAAATTCCCACTACCAGTTCACCCATGAACCATCACCATAGTCCCTTGTGCTCTTCTCTCCCCTGTTTTTATCCCTTTTCCTCCCCCTCCCTTGCAGAATGTCTCTTATTTATGGTTGCCTGCTAGATTTTTTTTATTGCTTTCTTTGCTCCCCCATCCCTTATTTGGTTCCCCTCTCTTCCTCCTTAAGTGAAACTATCGGATACTTCTCTTTTTCCTTCTGAGCATGATCCCTTGTTTATTTCATTGAGCATGATCCCGCCTAGCTCCATCCATGTTGCTGCAAATAGCATGAGTTTATCTTTTTTGATTGCTGAATAATAGTCCATTGTGTGTATATGCCATGTCCTCTTGATACAGTCATCTATTTGGGGGCATCCATGATCAGTTTCTTAGGCATCCTTCCAGACAGAATTTACATATTCTCTCTTTCCTACACAAATGGTAGCATCCTAGCATATTGGATACACTTTTTTCTTTGCTTTGTTTTTGAAGACTGTTCCATAATACAACAAAGAGCTTTCTCCTTTGTTTTATAGCTGCAAGGTACTCCATGTATAGATGTGTCATAATTCATGCAGGCATTCATCTATGATGGAAAGTGGATTTCAAATCTTTCATTGCCGCAAACAGTGGTGCAATAATTAATTGAGAGCTTAGGCCACTTAGCATATGTTTTAATTTATCTGTTGGATAAATTCCTAGAATGAAAATGCAGGAATGAAGGTTGCTTACATTTGGATTGGGAGCTTCGGTAGGCATCACCAAAAATCTCTCCCTTGAAGTAGTGCCAGTGTGAGAGTGACATTTCTACACTTAAACTGACTGGTATTTTAGTCAACTTTTTTTTTTAACCTTTGCCAATCTGATAGATGATTGAGCAGCTTTTTATATGCTGAGTTGTGTATATTTCCTCTTCTGTCATCTACTCTTTCTGTCCTTGTCCAGTTTTTGTGAAGCTGTTGGTATTTTTCTTAGTGAAGGATTTGGATTCTTTATTAAAAGGGAAATTTAGCCCTTTTTGTGACACAAATTACAAGTATTTTTCTGGTTTTTTGTGTTTAACTTTGTTTATGGTGGCTTTTGACATATAAAGTTCTTATTTTTACATGGGAGTTATGAGCAATTTTTCATTTTATGGTTTCTTTGACTTTATAGCATAGTTCAGAAAGAACTCCTTTCAAGTTTATAAAAGAATTTTCTTGTACTTTCTTTTAATCTTCTTGTTTGTTATAAATTTTTTGACATTAAAATATTTATATCAAGGAATTGTCCTTCTGAAAATGTAAGCTGTGGTTCCAAACTAATTTTTTTTTTTTTCATTAGCTTCCTGGTTAGCCTAAAATAATTGAGTGAATAATCCATTTTTCCTCTCTTAAATGTCATCTTTATCATATATCAAATTTCTGTAATTGGACTGATTTCTGCACCATATATTTTATTCTATTGAGTTGTCTGTGTTATATTAGTACCACAATGGTTTAATTATTTACACAATTATAGATTTTAATTTGTTTTACTATCTAGTAGGAAAATGATTATAATTGATTTTTGATCTCTTTCAAAACTTACCTGGCTCTTCCTGCTTCTGCATTATGACAAATGACCTTAACTACAGCTCTTTCAGATGCAAAAAAAAAAAAAAATCCTGGAAATACTTCTAATAAGATTGAGTTAAGTTTACAAACTCACTTGGCAATAATTTACAAACTTGTGATATGAATTACCTTTTCCTACCTTTTCTGTGACCTTCAGGAATATTCTAAACTTTAGGTCATACAGATCTCACATATTTATTCTTAAGTTTATTACCAGATATGTTAAATTGTATTGTTATTGTGAATAAGATCTTCTCCATTTATCTCCCTACTATTGTTTGTGTATGTGAAGGTTACTGAGTTCTGCATCATAATTTTGTACTTATCCATTTTATTGACATCCGGGTCCTTTCCAAACATATAATTATAGCATCCGCAAGTGGTGATAATTCTACCTCCTACTTTATGTGGCATGCCTCTAATTTATTATGTTTCCTTAGTGTCTTTGGTTTCCAGAATCTCCAGATCAATATTTTTTTTTAATATTTTTAATAGTTGTTTTTTTTTTTTTTAATAGAGGCATGCTTTATTTATTTATTTGTTTGTTTGTTTGGTTGGTTGGTTGGTTATATATGCACTGAGTACAGTCAGAAGCGCGGGAGGGTGAGAGAATTCACCAGAGCCAGAGCAGGGAGCAGAGCAGGCAGAAGGACCGAAGTACACTGCTGAGGGGAGCAGCGGGCGGCAGGAGAGGTCTGCGCGCCATGTGGGACCCTCCTCCAGTGGCCGGGGAGCAGCCGGGGATCGAACCAGCGCTGCAGAGGCTGCGGGCAGCTTCGCAACCCAGCGCTCAACCGCTGCGCCACCAGGGAGGCCCTCCAGAGCAATATTAATGAGAGTAGTGTTAATGATTTCCTAATTACATCCTAGCTTTGATGAGAATGCATCTCATTAATGAGAATGATGTTTTCCCATTTAAGCATGATGCTTAAGTGGTTGACCCAGGTATAGTTTATCATTTTGAGTTAATTACCATCTTATTAAAAGTATTTTATTACTATTTTATTAAAAGTAATTTAACAATAAACATCTTGAATTTATCAAACATCATTTATCA